CAGAGTAGACCCATCTCTACAAACAATAGAAAAATGAGTTGGGTGGTGGTGGCACATGCTTGTAGTCCCAGTTGCTTGGGAGGCTGGCAGGAGGATCTCTTGAGCCAGGAGTTGAAGGTTGCAGTGAGCTATGATAACACACTGGCACTCACATCACCAGGTGGACAGAGTGAAACCCTTCTCAAAAAAAAAAAAAAAAAAAAGCCATATAGGACAAACTCATAGCCAACATCATACTGAATGGGGAAAAGTTGAAAGCATTCCCCCTAAGAACTGGAATGAGACAGGGGTGCCCTACTATTCAGCATAGTACTAGAAGTCCTAGCCAGAGCAATAAGGCAAGAGAAAGAAATAAAGGGTTTCCAAATTGGGAAGGAAGAGGTCAAACTATTGCTGTTCACTGATAAAATGATCTTATATCTAGAAAACCCTAAAGAGTCCACCAAAAGACTCGTGGAATTGATGAATAAGTTCAGCAAAGTCTCAAGTTACAAAATCAGCATACATAAGTCAGTAGTATGTCTGTATATGTGTAACAGGCAAGCTGAGAGTCAAATCAAGGACTCAGTACTATTTGCAATAGCTACAAAGAAAATAAAATACCTAGAAATATACTTAACCAAGGAGGAGATCTCTACAAGGAGAACTACAAAACACTGATGAAAGAAATCATAGATGACACAAACATATGGAAAAACATCCCATGCTCATGGATTCATAGAATCAACATCATTAAAATGTCCATAGTGCCCAAAGTGATTTACAGATTCAATGCCACCTGTATCAAAATACCAATGTCATACTTCGCAGATTTGGAAAAAACAATTCTAAGCTTCATTTAGAATCAAAAAAGAGCCCAAATAGCCAAAGCAATCTTAAGCAAAAAGAACAGATCTGGAGGCATCACATTACATGACTTCAAATTATACTGCAAGGCTGTAGTAACCAAAACAGCATGGTAATGGGATAAAAATAGAGACATAGACCAATGGAACAGAATAGAGAACCCAGGAACAAAACCATCTACCTACAACCAACTGATCTTTGACAAAGCAGACAACAACATAACACTGGGGAAAGGAATCTATATTTAATAAATGATACTGGAATACTGGATAGCCACATGCAGAAGTATGAAACAAAAGCCCTGTCTCTTGCCATATACAAAAATTATTTCAAGATGGTTAAAAGACTTAAATGTAAGGCATGAAACCGTAAAATTTCTAGAAGAAAATTTAGGAAAAACTCCTTTAGACATCAGTGTAAACAAAGAATTTATGACTAGGACCCCAAAGGCAAATATAGCAATAATAAAAATAAATAACTGGGACTTAAGTTAAAAGTCTTTTGCACAGCAAAGGAAATAACAGAGTCAATAGACAACCTACAGAATGGGAGAAAATATTTGCAAACTATATATCCATTATATCCAGAATCTACAAAGAATTCCAATAAAGGGCTAATATCCAGAATCTACAAAGAACTCAAACAAACCAGCAAGAAAAAACAACCCCATTAAAAAATAAGCAAAACATGAACTGAAGTTTTTCAAAAGAAGATAGACAAATGGCCAAGAAACATGAAAAAATGTTCAACATCATTAATTGTAAGGGAAATGCAAATCAAAAATACAGTGAAATACTACCTTACCCCTGAATGGCCATGATTATAAAGTGACAAATGATAGATGCTGGTGTGGATGCAGAGAGAAAGGAATGCTTATACACTGTTGGTGGGACTGCAAATTAGTACCTCTATGGAAAATAGTGTGGAGATTCCTTAAAGAAATAAATATAGACTTAACTATTCAATCCAGCGATCCCACTACTGGGTATCTACCTATAGGAAGTCATTTTATCAAAAAGACACCTGCACTCAAATGTTTATCCACAGCACTACAGCACAATTCACAACTGCAAAGATGTAGAATCAACCTAAGTGCCTGTGATGTGTGTGTGTGTATATACACACATACACACACACACACATCACACATTTTTTTTCTCTCCTTTTCTGTGTATATACACATGTATACACACACACACACACACACACACATACATACATACATACATACACACACACACACACCCCTTGGGGTACTCCTCAGCCATAAAAACAAAATGAATAACATCATTTGCAAAATTGGGTGGAACTGGAGACCATTATCCTAAGTGAAGTATCTCCGGAATGGAAAAACAAACACCACATGTACTCTCTAATAATTGGGAGCTAAATGATGAGGGACACAAGTGGGCACAAAGAGATGTAAAGGATATTGGAAATCAAGAATGGAGGAGGATGGAAAGGGACGAGAGGTAAAAACTTACTTATTGGGTACAATGAACACTATTCTGATGATGGGTATACTAAAATCCCCAACTTGAGCATTATACAAGGTATCCATATAACAAAAACATTTGTACCCCTTTAGTATTTTGAAATTAAAACAAAAAACTCCTTTACAGCCCTACCCCCAATATCATAAATTACATCTTCATATATTTTATATTAATTAACATAGATTTATAGATTTGTAAATGTTCTTGTCATTTAACTTCCATGTACCAAAATTACTATAATACAGGTTACTATATTTGTTCATATATTTACTTTTATCAGAGAACTGTATATTTTCATGGTTTTTTTATTGCTGCCTACCATTCTTTCATTTCAGTGTGAGGGGCTCCCTCTAGCATTTCTTGTAGAGCAAGTCTCAAGTGGTCATGAAGTCCCTCAGTTTTTGTTCATCTGGGAAAGTCTTAATTTCTTTCCTTTTTGAAGAACAGTTTTGGCAGACGCGGTGTTCTTGGTTGGCAGTTTTTTCTTTCAGCAATTTGAATATATCATCCCACTCCCTTCTGGCCTGCAAAGTTTCTGATGAGAAATTTACAGACGCTCTTATGGAAGCTCCTTTATATGCCACAAATTGCTTTTCTCTTGCCACTTTCAAGATTCTCTCTTTATCTTTGACTTTGGACAGTTTGATTATAAAGTGTCAATATGGTTGTATGTGGATTTATCCCAGTTAGAGTTCTTTTTTTTTTTTCCCCTCTTCTTTTCTTCTCTAGTAATCCTTTACCAGTTGGAGTTCTTTAAGCTTTTTGATCTGTATGTCCATTTCTTTCCTCAGATTCAGGAGGTTTTTGGCCATTCTTCAAATAAGTTCGGTGCACCTTTCTTTTCTCTTCTCTTTCTGGGATTCCCATTATGCATATATTTGTCCACTTGATAGGTCTCCTAAGTCCTTTAGGCTCTCTTGACTTCTTTTTTTTTTTTTTTCTTTTTGAAACAGGGTCTCAACTCTGTTGCTCAGGCTGGAGTACAGTGGCATGATCATAGCTCACTTGCAGCCTGGAGCTCCTGGGCTCAACCATTCCTCGTGCTTTAGCCCCTCAAGCAATTGGAAGTACAGGTGTGCACCACCACACCCAACTAGTTTTTAAAAAAAAATTTATAGAGACAAGATCTCACTATGTTGACCAGACTGGTCTTGAATTCCCAACTTCAAGCAGTCCTTCTGCCTCAGCCTCCCAAAGTGTTGGGATTACAGACTCCAGCCACTGCACATGGCCTCTTTCTTTCTTTCTTTCTTTCTTTCTTTTTCTTTCTTTCTTTCTTTCTTTCTTTCTGTCTTTCTGTCTGTCTGTCTGTCTGTCTGTCTGTCTGTCTGTCTGTCTGTCTGTCTATGGCTTGATGATTTCAAATGACCTAACTCTAAGTTTGCTGATTATTTCTTCTGCCTGATCAAGCCAGCTGTTGAACCCTTGTAAATAATTTTTATGTTCCGTTATTATGTTTTTAAGCTTCAGAATTTCTGTTAGGTTCTTTTCATAATTTCTGTCTCTTTGTTGTTATTCACATTTTGTTCATACATCATTTTCTGACTTCATTTAGTTCTCATTTAGCTCATTGAGCATCTTTACAGTTATTTTAAATTACTTGTCAAGGAACCCATAGATCCGTGTTTCCTTAGGGTCAGTGTTTGGCATTTTATTTTGTTCCTTTGAGCCTTGTTTCACTGTTTGTTTGTATGCCTAGTAATTTGGGGGGAGGCAGTTGGCATTTGACAAAACAACCACTTCTCCTAGTCTTTGTGTACTTTGTGCAGTGGAAGACCTTCATTAATAAGCCTAGTTAAAGGTTCTAGAGACCTTTCAGACCTTTTGCGATTTTTCTTTTCTTTCTTTTCTTTTTTTCTTTTCTGATTCCTTGATCCCTCTGGTGTCTGGCTACAAACCTGCAGCTCTAACGTGCCACTTGTCTCTATTTTCAGCATCTTGCAAACTATGGTGCCAGCCCTGTCAGTGCTCTGAGTCAGGGACACGAAAAACAGTCTTTCAGGAAGCTCCCAGACAAACCAAAATGCTGGATCCATGATCCAGTCTTTTGTTTCCATCCCAAGGGAGGAGCCCAGCTCGTGGGGTTTCTTCCCATTTGCTCTTTGCTGTGCCATGTTGGGGGACAGTATGAATGCTGAGCCAAACACTGAATTTTCTTACCCCTTTTCCTGAAATCCCTCCTTTATTTACAATGGCCTTGGTGTTAAAGGTTCTCACCTGATCTCTGGAGTTCTCATGGAAGTGTTCTGGTCCATCTATTGTTAATTTGAGGTGTCTGTGGAAGGGAAAGAGATCCTGTGGCTTCCTCGTGTGCCATCTTGCTGACGTCACTCTCCCTTGTGCCTTTTTTAAGAGCAAAGTAAACTTTCTTCCTATAGTCACCCAACAGATTTCTTCTTCTACCTCATTGGCCAGATCTGTCTCATGGACCCACTTCTAACCAATCACTACAAGGGAGTAGAATTACCATGGTTTGGCTTATGTTAAATCAAAATTCATGAACTGGGGTTGATGAGAGACCTGGCCTCTCCTGAAACCCATCACCACTTGGTACCTGTGCAAAATAACTTCCATTCATAAGACAGAAGCAGGGTAAAGGCTCTTGGAAGACAACCATTATGTTGTTTTAAGTATTAAATTGTTGTTTGTCTCTTTTAGAGCTGAAGAGATCCCCCTGAAAATCTTGGCCCACAATGGCTTGGTTGGAAGACTGATTGGGAAAGAAGGCAGAAATTTGAAGAAAATTGAACATGAAACAGGGACCAAGATAACAATCTCATCGTAAGCCACCTATTTAGATTAATTATGCCCAATAATGGAGAACTTATACATTTTGATATGCCCAAATCATTCATCTAATTTTCCCTAAAATGGAAATGTAATCATAAGTGATGTAATTATTTCGATGGTCTTCAAAGACAAATACATAAATAGTTACCAGTTAGACATTTTCCACTAGGGATGTGATCTAGTGGAAATAAGATGTCAGAGATTCTACACTAGTATGTTGTAAAGGAACCAGTCATCTTCTTCTCCACCAAGACTTGTTTGTGATTTTTCTGGGATTTAATTTTTTCTCTTTAAAAAAGGAAATTTCAACCAGCCATGGTAACTAATACCTGGAATCCTAGCATTTTGTGAGGCCAAGGCGGGAGGATTACTTGAGGCCAGGAGTTGAGACCAGCCTGAGCAGCATAATGAGAACCCCATCTCTACAAAATATAAAAAAATGTAGCCAGGCATGGTAGCACATGCCTGCAGTCCCAGCTACTCAGGAGCCTGAGGCAGGAGGATCGCTTGAGCCCAGGATTTTGAGGTTGTAGTGAGCTATGATGATGCCACTGCTCTCTAGCACAGGCAACAGATCAAGACCCTGTCTCAAAAAAAAAAAAAAAAAAGGAAATTTCTTTCTTTTTCCCACTGGCCAGTTTGCAGGATTTGAGCATATATAACCCTGAAAGAACCATCACTGTGAAGGGCACAGTTGAGGCCTGTGCCAATGCTGAGATAGAGATCATGAAGAAGCTCCGAGAGGCCTTTGAAAATGATATGCTGGCTGTTAACGTAAGTTCCTAATGCTTTCTTCTCTACTGGTTTCACATGTGCTTCCAGGCAGAGCCAGGCTGCTCTAAGAATAATTGTCATTCAGCTAATGAGGAAGTGCCTTAGGGATAGGTTTTTCTCAACTGCTTAGGATTAAGGAATTCAAACAATCAAGAAACCAACTAATAAATGATAAATATACTAGAAACCATTAAAATAATAACTTTGAAGACTGCAAAATGAGGAAATGCTTATGATATAATGTTATTAAAAGAGTAAGATACAAAAGTATATAACTAGAGTTCCAGTTATATAAAACAAAATATGACTGGAAGATTATATACAAAAATAAAAATAGCCAGTATGTTAGGAAAGTGGGATTTTCTGCTTTCCAAACTTTCTGTAATATTGTCCTGTTGCTTTTTAAATTTTAAAAATACATGCTTTAGCCAGTTGCGGTGGCTCACGCCTGTAATCCTAGCACTCTGGGAGGCCGAGGCGAGCAGATTGCTCAAGGTCAGGAGTTCAAAACCAGCCTGAGCGAGACCCCGTCTCTACCATAAAAATAGAAAGAAATTAATTGGCCAACTAATATATATATATATATAAAAATCAGCCAGGCATGGTGGCTTATACCTGTAGTCCCAGCTACTCGGGAGGCTGAGGCAGGAGGATCGCTTGAGCCCAGGAGTTTGAGGTTGCTGTGAGCTAGGCTGACGCCACGGCACTCACTCTAGCCTAGGCAAGAAAGCGAGACTCTGTCTCAAAAAAAAAAAAAAACATGCTTTAAAATTAACTTTTGATTTTCATCCTTTGCTTGCTGATCTACACTTTCAGATTGCCCAGTAAATGTTGCCAATTACCTGAGTTCTCACTAATACTTCTAGCAAACTGATTTGGGTTTATTCTTCCTGTTATTGCTACCTAGTTTTCACTTTATGATGGGGAGATACCAGTCTGGCATTCAGAAAATTCTTTAAAATACTTGGTCATCAGCAAAGCCCAAGCTCAGCCCATTTCACTTTTTTTTTTTTTCTTTTGAATGAGTAACTTATGTCTGAAGCCCATTTCACTTTTTAATGATAATTTTCTAACATATAAAAAAGTGGAGAGGATGGAGAGGATGCTCCAATAAGTCCACATATGCCTGTATTCTGGCTTCAGCAGTTACCAGCTCAAGGCCTGTTTTGTTTCATCTGAACCTTCATCCACATCCACTTCCCATCCCTGTTGGATGACCTGGAAAACCTACAAAAGGGTCTGGATGATTGAAACATCTTCACCTGACCATATCACTTAGATTCCTTCATGTCTGTATCAAAGTCATGTACTGATAGATGAATAACAGAATCACTAGATCTTGTAAACCAAATGAGGTGAAGGTGACAAATCCCAGCTCTACTATTCCAAACATTCTAAAAGAAGGCAACTTACTGGGTGGCTTCAGCCACTGACAAGAAAATAGAAAATGTTAGAAAACTGCTTCAGGTTCAGAGAATCAAAGATGGGAGTAGGTTGGACACAGTTCAGAATAGGTGTCCACATTCCTCTGCCTCTGAAGGGCTGTGTAGTTAAAACTCAGCCCCAGCCTATGTGGGCATCCTCAGGTTTACATGTGAAATAAGCAAATAAGTGACACGATTACAAAGCTGGCAACTAAGTAAGGAAGAGATAAAGTTGTGAACGATCCTGAACCTGGATAATAGAATTTACCAATGTGGTATCCTAGTGAAGTGTCTGAGCTTTTTTCCCTGAGTAGAGTTAGAAAAAACTATTAGTCCAATTTGTTTTAAACATAGTCATTCAACAAATATTTATTGAGTACTTACTACATACCAGGCACTGAGAACACAACACTAAGTAATACAGTCTCTGTCTACAAGAAAAGTATGGTGTAAAAGGGAAAGAAATAGTTAAGCAAGAGATTCAAATATGTAATGTGTGCTGTTTTAAGGAAATATAGGAATGCTAGAGGAGCACAGACAGGGCATTTGAGCTAAGGCCTTTGGGATGAAAGAAAGCTTTCTGCATGAGGGGGCATCTAAGCTCTGGTGAAACCCACAGGTGAGTAGGACTTAGAAAAGCACTTCCTTGTAAGAGAGACAAGATGTGCAGGGGCCCAGAGGTGAGAGAGCATGCAGGGTATTTAGGAAACAGGATCAGGCAGGGTAAGGATGAGGAGTTAGCAGGAGTAAGGCTGGCAAAGTGCCTCCGTTCCCAGGAGGAGCCTCATTTGCCGTAATAAGATGTATAAACGTTCCCAAGGCAGAGAAGATTTGAAGGAAAACTATGGTCAGGTTGCAGTTTGGCATCCACCCCCAATGCAGGGTGTGGAAGAGGTCCACGGGGCCAGGGCATTGCTGATTAGGAGACGCTGGTGCCATCCAGACAAGAAATGGAGGTTGACCCAGGTGAGCTGGGCCTCTCTGGTCTCCTCCCCTCATTTTTCTTCTCCATTTCTGTTCCCAGCAACAAGCCAATCTGATCCCAGGGTTGAATCTCAGCGCACTTGGCATCTTTTCAACAGGACTGTCCGTGCTGCCTCCACCAGCAGGGCCCCGCGGAGCTCCCCCCGCTGCCCCCTACCACCCCTTCGCTGTAAGTAGCTCAGCAGTCAGAGGTTGCTTTTATGCTGGGCATCTCCGGGCAGCAGCATTACTCTACTATGTTGAATTAGAGCTGAAGCTTTCATTTAAAGGCAGTGCTCATGAGTACAGATGAATCCAATGTAGGATGAACCCAGAATTTCTTAGGACTTCTTAATGGGCAAATTAGTATTAACCATCCTCTAAACGTGTGCTTTTAAACATGGTGTATGTCATATCTAGGAAAGAAAGAAACTACTAGCAAATTCCTAACTAGACTCCTATTATTGTAAAAAAAAGGATTCGTTAGCTCACATAAGAGCATTCGTGAATATTGGTTGTTTAGTAAAATTAGGGCATCGGGGTGATTCTTAGATATTCATACAATTACTGCCTCTATCTACAATTCAAATGCATTATATTTTACTAATAGGCAGTTTTTAAAAGAAAATAGTGCATAGTGTTTGTGTCTAAACATTTAGCACAATGCCTGGTATTTAGTAGGTTCTCAATAAGTACTTATTGTTTGAATCATACTTTATAACAAATGTGAATTTTATGAGTTTTCTACTTTTTGCTTTCATTCACAAACATTATTCAAGATTAACACATTACCAAATTGGGGTTCAAGATACTTCACAGCTTTTTTTTTAATTCCCAAATTTTCTCTACACATATTTCTATTTTTAAAGCAAATTTTCTTTGTCCCAATGTTTATAGTGTTTAAATGGGAGGAATCAGGTGGCTGGATACTGCCTTTGCCATTCCTTTCTTTTGAGAGGTGGTTTCTGGTGTAGATGTCACATTGTGTGAATTCCCAGTAGCCTTTTGGGTTGTCTGTAGAGAGACAGAAGAATCCCACTATGTCGTTTGTTCTTCCAACAGCTGGCACCCATGTGACATCCTTAGTCACATGTACACACACATTCTGGAATCTTGTTTATCTGTAGCTCTTCTGAGTCATTTCTAAATCTCTCCATCCCATCTCTTTAGTGATCTTCATTTTTCCTTGAACTAGAGGAAAAGGCCCAACACTGAGCCATGTATGTGTGTGTGCGCGTGTGTATGTGTGTGTGTGCATGTGGTAGAGTGGACTGAAGGTGTGGCATGTGGCGGGAAGGATTGTGGCAACTGTCACAATCGTGTGGCCACTCCAAGGAGCAAGAACACCCATGAGAGTTGCACATCTTCAAACTTTTGCTGTCAGGTTTGAGAATGACAGCTCTGTCAATTAAATGGCATTGAAGCACATCTCATTTCTTGAGAGAGAGGCTGTGCAGTCTGCCCCTCAGAAGGTAACCTGAAAAACCAGGCCACCCTTTCAGCCTAGGTAACATGAGCTGGGGGGAGACATGTTAAAATAGACCACTTCTAAAATTGAGTAAAATAGGTGTCCACATACTATATAGCCTGAGGGCCAAATTTAGCTCACTGCTTATTTTTTGTAAATAAATGGGAGAGTTGCTTGATGCCAGGAGTTCAAGACCAGCCTGAGCAACATAGTGAGACCCTGTCTCTATAAAAAATAAGAAAAATCAGCTGGGTGTGGTGGCATGCACCTGTAGTCCCAGCTACTTGGGAGGCTGAGGCAAGAGGATTGCTTGAGCCTAGGAGTTTGAAGCTGCAGTGAGCTACAGTGATGCCACTGCACTCTAGCCTGGGCAACAGAGCATGACCTTGTCTCAGAAAAATGCTGACACAGACACAAAGCGAACACATGCTATTGAAAAAATGGCACTGATAGACTTGCTCGACACAGGGTTGCCACAAACCTTCAGTTTATAAAAAAATGCAATATCTGCAAAGTGCAATAAAATGAGATATACCTGTACATAAGCCTTTGCACAAGTATGTGAGTATATCTGAAAGAAAATTCCCTAAGACTGGAACTATTGTGTCAAAACATATATGCATTTTAAATATGTAGAGATTTCTCTCCAGCAGAATTCATGTAGAAATTTTAAGAATTAAGGTAGTTAAATAGGTAATGTTTTCCTTTATGGGTTTCTAGCCTTTATTGTCATGGAAGGAAAAAAGCCTTCTCCTCTCCAAAATTGTAAAAATATTCTCCCATGTTTTCTTATGCTAATTTTTAGTTGTTGATTTTGGGGGGTTTGTTTTATATACATATATGTATATGTCATAGGGACTTTATCTTGACTTACACTTTGAAATAGAGATCTAATTTTACTTTTTCCAAATGGATAGCAGATTTCCCCCAAATCATTTATTTATTGAGTAATCCACCATCTTGTTATTTAACTTGAAATGCCGACTTTGTTATACACTAATTCCCACTTAGTCATATTTCTGCACTCTATTGTGTTCCCATTCATCTCTTTGCATAGACAATTACTACAGCAATTACCACAGCAAATTACTGTAGTTTTTACATGATCTTTGACAGTTGTAACAGCAAGGTTAAAAGAAATTGGAAAGAAGGCCAACTTTTAAACTTTTACTATGCTTGGGAAAATTAATATATAGGAATTTTCTGTTCCTTGAATATTTGATTAAACCCATCCATAAAGCATCTGGGTCTCGTAACTTTTGTTGGGAGAAAGATCATTATAATCTTTTTAATTTGGTTTTGTTGATTTGTATTTTCCTATAAAAGTATCCATTTTATCTCTCTATGTGTTGGTGTATAGTTGTACAAAACAGACTGTTGCCTTTAAATCTCCAAACTTGTGGTTATATCTCTCTTTTAATTTCTAACATTGTATATTTGTGTTTTATCTTTTTTTTTTGTTATTAAGATTTGCTAGGGATTTTTCTATTTTTAAAAATGTCTAAGTAGTTAAGGGTTTCCTTTTTGTTATCTTACAATTATTTCCTTTATTCTTTTGTACTCACATAATGTAACATTTCTGATTTTTATGGCCTTGCTCAGTGCATGATCAATTTGGGGGAATAATGGGCAGTTAGAAGTGTGCATGTCCTCTGATGGCCTCAAAGTTGTGTTAACAGCTATAAAATCAAGCTTTCAACTGGTGACTCGTAGTCTCTCTATAATTATTTTAATTTATGTGACATTAAGTTTTGAGGACTGTTTACTATTCTCTGATTATGAGTTTGTCAAATTCTTTATTTGTAAGAGATTCTTAAATGTGTTTTGATCATATTATTTTAGAAATAATCTGGAATTTTAGTCCAAATTATTAAGCTTTTTTTCTTAAATATACAACCTCATAATCCAAAGTTATTGAAAATTAACTAAAATTTTTCTGGTTCTTTGCTCACCGCAAAAGGCTTCTTGTGTTCCATGCCCTTTCATCTTTGAGTTATTTGTTTTTGTTGTTGTTGTTTGCTGTTTTTGTTGTGTTATTTGGCTGGAATACTTCTTCAGAAAACTTTTTTAGGAAGTAGTGCATGAGTAGTATAATTTCTAAGCCTTTCTATATCTGATATGCCTTTCTTTTTCCCTCACATGTGAACGAAAGTTCAGCTGGGTGTCTAGAAATTCTAGGGTCATAGTTCCTTTAGAACTGCAAAAACATTACTTCTAACATTAGGCTTTTATGATAAGTGTGCTACAAGCTGAATTCTCCTTTTTTTGTAGATACATATTTGCTTTTTTGGTCTGTAAGGGTTTTGTTTGTTTGTTTGCTTTTGTTTTTGTTTTTTGCCTTTTATAGCATTTTGCCTTTACCCTTGGAATTCAGGAATCTGAATCTGAGCACTTTGATCTGAAAATTCAAGTTTTTTTTTTCTTTGGCTCAGGAAAATCTTTTCCTTCTAAAATTAATTTTAGTATTGTTTTCCTCCATCCACTTCATTTTCTCCTCCTGGAGTCCTACTTTGTGGATAGTAAATTTTACTCTACTCTGTGTGTCTAATTCCCTCTCTTGTCTTTTGGTTTTACCTGAATTAATCTTCTAGCGCACCAATGCACTTTTCAGCAGTGTCCATTCTACTGTTTATACATCCTCTGTTACTTAACTAATCATGTTTTTAGTTTCCAAGATCATCCTAGTTCTCTGATTGGTCTTTTCTCATAACAGTCTACTCACGTTTTATCAAAGTGCTAAACTCTTGAATCTCACTTACGAATTCAAGTGAGAATTTTTTAAAGAGCTCTCCCTTCTTTCCTGAATTAACTCACTAAGGTTGTTTGCTTGCCTTGCTCAGCCTTGCTCTCCTCTTTCATGCTGCTGATTCTTTATATATGTCTGAGGAATTGTAATTGTTAATTTACATATTTAAATGAACTCAACAGAAGGCATATTAGAATCCTTAGGGGAGCTTTTGCATAGTATGTTACCCAGACCCGACCTGAACCAGTGAATTCAGAATGTTCCAGGTGAGCATGGTGTTGAGTGTAGTGGTTAAGCTCTTGAGACAGAGATCTGTGTTAGAATCCTGGCTTTACCACTTGCTGGCTGACTAGTTCTTAGCTCCTGCCAGAAACTTAAGATTGTATGAGAACACTCAGAGGTGGATAAGCAGCTGCCATGTGCAGAGGCACTTCAACAAGCTAGGGGTAGAAACAGCGTGTGCTCGGAATCTTGGAAAGCTGTGTCCACAACACTAACTCCTCTAGCTAAGTCCTCGACCCTTCCCCGGGCCCATGTCCCTGGTCCCCAGAGGGAGCACTTGCCATCTTTGCAGCCTGGTGTCAGTCTGCATCACACTAAAGCTATTTAAGTATTTGAACATAATTGATATGCCTGGCTCTTACCCTCCACATTACCCCTTTCCCCCCCTTCCTCTTCCCACCCCGATTTCTTCAGACTATCAGCAAAACCATCTATAAAATAGTCACACAGAATAGCTCAGATGCTGCGATTCTCCCAGAAAAAGCAGGCACAACTGTTTATAACTCCCTTTTTAGTTTTCACGAGTGTGTTTGATATACACTCCTCCACCCACCTCCCAGCAGTCAAACTTGGAGGGAAAGCAGATGCCAGTGTTGCCGAAACTGAGAATTGGAGATGAACCTGTGGATAATAATGACCTCCTCCTACCGCCCCTCGGTTGGCAGGGGGTGAGGGCACACCTGCTAGGAACACCTTCACCAAACCACCTCCATTCCTCCTTCCACTGTCAAAATGCTTTTGGAAGACTCAAAAATAAAGTAGCTTATCCCTTATAAAATAGCCAGGACTTTTGAGCTGGCACAGTGAGCCAAATGGCCACACTGGAGCCGCAGTTCCCTCCTGACTTCCCTGTGCCTTGGGGCCTTAGACCAGATGTCTGATGACTACAGCCTGTTTTTCCATTAAAGAGAATACCTCTTCAAGCCATCGCCAGGTTACTTCTTATGATCATTATAAATAAGCAAGTTTTGAAAGTCTACTTTCATTTTGAGGCTATAGATGCCACATAAGCTTGGGGGCATGGGAAATAATAGAAAGTATGCTCTGATTAACACTCATTTCATTATAAATAAGTACTCATTTAACACTCATTAATTCGGCCCATACAGGGTGTGGTGATAGAGCCATAATTCCTATGACCTTGCTAAATACCATGTAGCACCTTCAGGGGCATCTGCTGTACCAAGGTCCAATCCATGTCTGAGCCACAGCCCACGGGCCCTTTGTGCTCTCGTGTCGCTGCCTTGCCAACCACAGCCTGCTGTGCTCTTACTTGCTTTCACCATACTGGCCTCCTTTCTGTTTTTCAAACAGGCCAACCCCTTTTCTACCTCGGGACTTCCAAGAACCCTGCTTAGAATGTCCCCTCCCAGTGCCCTGCACAGAGCTCCTTCTCCTCCGCGGGTCTCGACTCCAAGAGCCTTCCCAGACCACTCGTTTCGCTCACAGCACTTCTCTGAAGTTATCTTCTCATCTGCCTCCCCAGTCGAATACAAGTTCCACGTGGCAGTGCCTTTTCTGTTTTAGTAACTGTGTCCTCAGCACCAGGAACAGTGCCTCCCACATAGTAGGTACTCAGATACATTTTGAATCAATAAATGAACAATTGAATGAACCCTCATAACAGTACTATAAGAGCTAGATGTTATTTGAGCCCATTTGTGGATGAAGTTCGGAAAGGGTAAAAATTGTTCCAACCTATAGAGCTTTAGTAATTCAGACTCAAGTCTTCTGACTCCAAAAACCGACTTTTGTACACAAAGGCTAATGGCAGAGCCTTAGCTAGAAATGAGCTCCTGATTGCAGAGTTCAGGATTCTTTCCCTATGACAAATTTCCAGCTGTGACTCATGAATAAAAAGGGAATTTGTCCTTTTTATCCTTTTACAGCTAATTAAAAAAGCTCTCCCTTACCCCAAGTGATAAGTCTAAATTTGATACAGTGTTTATATTAGGAGTGTTTGAACTCCGAATAGGAACCACAAGGTGGCTTGTCTATTTTTGGCCTCACATGAGTTTTGTAAGGAAAAGGTAAATCACAATTCAAAAGAATAATGTCTGCTCTGAGGGCTGAAGGAATGGCTCTCCAGGAGGGAGAAGGGCAGTATCGTCCTCTCCCCAGAGTAGAGCTTTCTCTGAGCAGAAAAATTACATGATTTCTCCCCTCACCATCCATGGCCCAGGACAGGGACCTGCGCAGAGGAGGGTCTGGAGCTGATGTTCTTTCCAGGAAGTCCTCAAGAAAGGCAGGGCCAAGAGGAGCAAACCTCTTCACCTACCTTCCTTCAAAACTTGAGGTTGCAAAAAGACTGCTGATCTCACAGCACCCACTTGTGGGCATAAGGTGTCAGTGCAGCCTCTTTCCAAGTCAGCGAGCCTTGCACTGGACCGGTAATTCCCGTGCATAAGCAGAGCTCTGTCCCTGCGGGTGCCGCCGGTACCTAGAGCACTCCTGGACAGCCCCTGATGATGTTCACATCTCTCACCTCTCTCTAAGATCAAAAAGGGTAAGGAACGGTTTCATTTTGTCCCTAACGAGTCATAAAGTGAAGTCATAATGTGCAGCTGAGTCCAGCTGGAGATTCAGGAGATAGGACGTGTATGTCACCATGAGATTTGCTATGTGGCCCTCAGTGGAAAGCCGGTCTTGCCTCATCCAGGTCTGACCACTGTGGGAACCGTCATCCTGAGGGTGCTATCTGGCAGCTCGGGCCTGCAAAGATGGGGGTTCTGTGGTGCCCAGAGCTGTTGGCATCCCTTCCTGTCACAGTTATGTAGGTGTTTACTTGGCCTCTTGTAAAGCACATTCAGACTAGTCTTTGCCAGCTCTGATCAATGTCCTGTCCATAAGAATATATAAAATCACACATATTCCTGTCTTATAGGACTGTTATGAGGATTAAAAGAGTTTACAAATAAAGTATCTTTGATAGTACCTAGTACACAGTAGATATTTAATAAAAAGCAACTACTTTTTAAATTTTGATTTTCCCAATAGCTCTATTTTCTTGTATCCACATCTGCCCTGCTGTTCCCTGCTTCCCCTTACCCACACTCACACACAGTATACTCATTCATTTTCTTTCTTTCACCCCTCAGTCTCTTTTTAAATTTCTCCATTCCCTATCTCTCCATTCCTTCTGAAATGTTCTGATGGAGCTGACTGAACTATCTCCACAGGAGCACCTTTGTGTCTTCTGAATAGCTCCTGGGTATTGTCCCAGCACTCTCTGTTCCTTTTAATCTACGACTTGTAATTCCCCAGAAAATAGAAGCCACTGGCTCTGCCCGTGTACCTGAGGACAGGTTGAAAGAGAATGTGCGTGTGTGGATGTGTCTGCACACGTGCGAGTGCGTCGCGCCCACGGTAAGTTCCTGGGGAGCCTCAGCTGTGGCTCAGCTTAGAAACAGATAAACAGTCGGCCCAGAGCCACTGCAGTAGGTGCCATCTTGGTCAGTGGTCTGCTGGGGAGACGTGGAACAGAATCTGAGACACACAGGGACAGGTGTGTAGACAGGGGAGGGAAGTCAGCTATGGTGCAGAGAGCCTGTGCTACGTGTGGGAAATCTTGCCTCCATGAGTATGGTGACTGTCCCCGAGAGCACCCGCTCACTGACTGTTTCTCTCCTGCTGCAGACCCACTCCGGATACTTCTCCAGCCTGTACCCCCATCACCAGTTCAGCCCGTTTCCACATCATCACTCTGTAAGTGTCGCTCAGTTCGGCCCCAGATGCCACTTTTCTCTCTCTTGTGGGTGGCCCACCTGGCCCTTGAGGGACGGACCAGTGAATGTTCTGGGTTGTCCGGGCATGTCACGTCTCAAGCATAAGTGCACAAACCACCCAGCACCCAGGTCGGGCTGGTGCTGTTCCTGTTGGCCAGTCCTGCTGATGCCCACACGTCGCACGCGCTGCAGGAAGCCGGCACCAGTGAGCGATCAACAGGTCACGTTAGGAGGTGGCATTGAGCTAAAGAACAGAGTTTCTAAAGACCTTTGAACAATGTCTAGCAGATGGGGTCATGTCATTCTCATAGACCCCTGTAGCAGGGACCCCTGGCAGCCTAGCCCCGGAGCCCCTCCCTTCCCCTATAGCGTCCCAGGAGGGGTGACTCGCCCCATTCCCCAGTCAGGGCAGGATCAGTCGCTTTGTGAAAATGCTACTCCTGGCTACACGGTGGGCAGAGCAGCTTTCCATTCCCTCTACCAGAGTGCCTCAGGACCCTGTCCTCAGGCCACATGTGTTTAATAACTTTTTGATTTTTTGGATGAAGACACAGGAGAAGTACATATCACATTGTATATGACAGAAAACCCGTCAACAGACAGCTTTTTGAATCCAACAAATTCTGATGCTCAGAGGAGTTTGCACTTTGTCATGCAGCCCTGCCTATGTTCAGGTGCGTCCCTCAAGCTTTACCCCTGCAGAGCGCTAGGCCCCAGGACAACCCCACGCACCATTTTGGCCCTTTCTTTGTACGATGGGGCCTTCCCACCATGGGGCTCGTGGTAGGTGCTTGGTCACTGTTCAGTGCCTGAAAAAGAAGCCCCAGTTGGAATGATGTCTCCTTGTCTCGCCCTCCTAGTATCCAGAGCAGGAGATTGTGAATCTCTTCATCCCGACCCAGGCTGTGGGCGCCATCATCGGGAAGAAAGGGGCGCACATCAAACAGCTGGCAAGATTCGCCGGAGCCTCCATTAAGGTAAGGCTGCCCCGTCAGCTGCCTGCACCCCTTTTCCACACCTCACCCACTTCACATCCCTGTTCTTTCTCTCAGTCCTGGGCAACTCTTATACCATCCAGAGACAGAATCCCACAGGATCTAGGAAATTTGCCCCCAAGACTATCCCTAGATGCTCTCATCTTCCCTTCACTTACTTGTTTTCTGTTCAGCTAATAACTAAATTTTAAAAAGGCCGGTCATGCCTATAATTCTAGCACTCTAGGAAGCCGAGGCGGGAGGATCACTTGAGTTCAGGAGTTCGAAGACCAGACTGAGCAAGAACGAGAACCCGTCTCTATAAAAAATAGAAAAATTAGCCAGGTATGGTGGCAGGCACCCATAGTCCCAGCTACTCAGGAGGCTGAGGCAGGAAGATCGAGTAAGCCCAGGAGTTTGAAGCTGCAGTGAGCTATGATGACACCACTACACTCTAGCCCAGCTAACAGAGCGAGACCCTATCTCAAAAAAAAGAAAAGAAAAAGAAAAAAATATTAGTAACAACCCAGTGCAGTCCCCTTTGGATTATCATTGTCCTTTGCATTGCAAGAACATAAAGCAAAGAAAGGTTGAGGATATTTCCTACGCTATGGGAATGGACTTGAGTAGGGTGCTAATTTATACTTAGTACATTAATCTCCATTTCAAAAATCCTTGAACTTTAAAAAAATAATTTGAATAAAAAACTCTTTGAAAAGCGATGATATGCTCTTTTACAGTTTGTTTTACACCTGGCTGGGCCAGGTGGCTCATGCCTGTAATCCTAGCACTCTGGGAGGCCAAGGCAGGCAGATTGCTCAAGGTCAGGAGTTCAAAACCAGCCTGAGCAAGAGCGAGACCCCGTCTCTACTATAAATAGAAAGAAATTAATTGGCCAACTAATATATATAGAAAAAATTAGCCGGGCATGGTGGCGCATGCCTGTAATCCCAGCTACTCTGGAGGCTGAGGCAGCAGGATTGCTTGAGCCCAGGAGTTTGAGGTTGCTGTGAGCTAGGCTGATGCCATGGCACTCACTCTAGCCTGGGCAACAAAGTGAGACTCTGTCCCCCCCCCCCAAAAAAAAAAGAAAAGCGATGATAAAATCATAGATAAATAAAAGCTGATGCCGTGGCCTGATAAGAAGCCCCGGGCTAAGCAGAGAGGCTCAGGAAGGAAGGTCCTTGACTTACGGAAAGAGTTGTGAGTGCAGATGTGGCAGTAGTGACAGACCCACATCCTGCTTGTGGAGCACAATGGGGAGAATCGTCAATCGTCAGAGAAGCTGAAAGGGAAGGATTATTTGACCCTGGTCCTGCTCCAAGCCCAGCTATCAGCTCTGACTCACAGGCAGAATGCAGAGAGCGTCCCAAACCTCATGAAACACTTTCGGAAACAGAGTTTCCGTTGTTACGCAAAATAATTTGCTGCCATGGGACAACCCGGAATTCCGAACAAAAAAGTCTCATGACTTGGAGAGAAAGAATGCTTACACTTTCTCCCCAGGAAGAGCTGGAATTTCTCCCACAGCAAGTGTGCTTGGGGAAAAACAAAACATTCTGAGCAGTACAGGACAAGGATTGCAGTGAGACCGTGAATGAATTTTATTTTGGTGAATCATTTTCCCCCTCTGGCCTCATTTATCTCACCTGTTGGGGGGCGGGAAGACAGGCTGAGAGCCCCAAGGTGACAGTGGAGGGGCACATGGGGGCCTTTGCAGCAAGCATGCTTGCCACAGATGAGACCCTGGCCCAGGCGCTACCAGGCAGGTGTGGCCACCCCCACAGGTGGGATGAGTACAGTGTGGAGAGCACTGGGCTGGCTGTCGCCCGAGGGCCTCTCCCAGTGTCCAGTCCTGCCATCTGAGATGCCATGCAGCAGATGGAATAAAAACCATTTTAGCTAAAAGGCACTTGAAGGATCATCTCATCAAATCTCCCGTTCATTCAGCTGAGGAGAGGGAGGCTCAGGAGTGCAGGTGCATGGTCAAGGCACGTGAGTGGCAGGACTGGCTCTTAAATAGAAATTCAACTGACCTCTAGGATACTGAGCACTCCCTGGGGCTAACTACGCCCGTACTCTTCATTTACTATTGCCTGTGAGGACTCAGGGCCCAGAGCGTTTCATTGACTTGTCTAAGGCCTCAAAGCTAAAGCATGAGAGAGCCAAGACTTGCCCATGTTATCCTACTTCTGGTCTAATGTGTTTCCCACCATAGCACCTGACTGCTATGGCAAAGTCATTCCCAGCAGGGCCTTTAGGAAAATAAGAAGAGAGAGAGATAGAGGTACTAATCCCTTGGGCTGGCTCCCGCAGCATTCCCACAGTCCTGTGTCCCAGCAAGGTTGAGTGGTTATATGTCACTTTGCACATGGCTTCTATGGGGGGCATACACAGCAGGGCTGTACCAAGAGGACAGAGTGGGTCTCACTCCATCACCCGGGCAGGAGTGCAGTGGCCTGATCATAGCTCGTTGTATGCAGCCTTGAACTCCTAGGGTCGGACAATCTTCCTGCCTCAGCCTTCCACGTGTCTGGGACTACAGGCACATGCCACGGTGCCAGGCTAATTTTTTGTAGAGACAGAGTCTTGCTATGTTGCCTGGGCTGCTCTCAAACTCCTGGCCTCAAGTGAGGCTCCCACCTCAGCCTCCCAAAGTGCTGGGAGTACATGAGCCACTGCACCTGGCCTCCAAATGGTGTTTTTTATGCTGGACCAACAGTCTTCTTCCCCAGTTCCTGCCTGTCTCTATAACATTAAAGAAGAGGAAAGAAAACCAGGGAAGCCTAGTATTTGTGAAAGATACTTCCTACTTTTTAAAGTCAATCTGGTTTTTACTAGATTCCCTTTATCTTGCCAGGTCTCTGAAAGGACCGTCTCTAAAGCAAAATGGATGATCTCACTAACTCCAGAGAGCCACACCCCCTGCCCCCCAGTTTCTGCAGTGTCAGTCTTCAGGGGCCGCAGCTAGGGACACATTTGGTGCTGCTGGGACAGGGAGAGAGCTTTGAACTCCTCTGTGGGAACAGAGTGCGGGGAGGGGGTGGGCTGAGCTGAGACCTGGGAGACGTACCACAGGGGTGCTTTGGTTACAGGTGAGAGTTGAGTTCCCATTGTCCAACTTCCCTGAAGAACTTCTGGTCAGCAGGCTGCTGAACGCTACCCAAATTTCAGTCCAGTGTCAGCCAGGGACACCCAATTACAGATCTTTACTCTAAACCTTGCTTACGCTGCACTCTTGGCAGTCATCTCCCCTCTCGGTGTCATTTGCTTCAGTCATAAAATGGGGTCCTCATTCCTGCCACTCCAGAGGAAGCGTGCCTGTGGCATGCCATTCCAGAACTGTGGGAGTACATAAGTAGTTCTGAGACGTCTGTCTAGGCCGGTAAATGCCAGACAGTAGAGCAATCAGAGGTATCTTTTCAGAATCTGAGCAAAGTAGCCACAAGTCACTAGGAAGTGGACAAGAACGGCAGAACTGATTGGGTCAATGTGCATCGTGAACCAGCCTTTCGCCCTTCTCTGTTTGGGTGGTGATGAGAACTGGGAGCCACCATGCCCGTGATCTGCTCTCTATTATTATAACTCCTTGACATAAGGACCAGGTTTCACACCAGCTGTGGATCTCAAAGTAGAGGCAGAGGTTCCTGCCAGCAGTCTCAAGGGCCAGCCTGTGTGTGACCTGCCAGTCCCCTGGACACACTGAGCTCTGTGTTTTTTGGCTGAGGCCACTGCCAGGAAATGGCTGCCGCAGCAAAGGGACATCCTCCAAGAAGCACAGTTGCTGGTCACCCGTGTCTCACACTCATCCCATGCCTCTAAGTAAGTAGTCAAGCCAGAGGACTCCTCGCAGATCTTGAGAAGGGGTCCACCCTTCCAGAGCAGGGCAGGGGTCAGAGCCAGCCTTGGCTACATATTCACAATGATGCTGGGACAGGAACACTGGGCCCCGAGGTCCATGGATGGACTGTGGCCTATGGCACATACTGAGAGAAGACAAAATTAAACCCAGTGGGCCGGGCGCGGTGGCTCACGCTTGTAATCCTAGCACTTTGGGAGGCCGAGGCAGGCGGATTGCTCAAGGTCAGGAGTTCAAAACCAGCCTGAGCGAGACCCCGTCTCTACCAAAAAATAGAAAGAAATTAATTGACCAACTAAAAATATATATAGAAAAAATTAGCCGGGCATGGTGGCGCATGCCTGTAGTCCCAGCTACTCGGGAGGCTGAGGCAGGAGGATCGCTGAGCCCAGGAGATTGAGGTTGCTGTGAGCTAGGCTGATGCCATGGCACTCACTCTAGCCTGGGCAACAGAGGGAGACTCTGTCTCAAAAAAAAAAAAAAAAAAAATTAAACCCAGTGGGCCGGGCGCGGTGGCTCACGCTTGTAATCCTAGCACTTTGGGAGGCCGAGGCAGGCGGATTGCTCAAGGTCAGGAGTTCAAAACCAGCCTGAGCGACCAAAAAATAGAAAGAAATTAATTGACCAACTAAAAATATATATAGAAAAAATTAGCCGGGCATGGTGGCGCATGCCTGTAGTCCCAGCTACTTGGGAGGCTGAGGCAGGAGGATCGCTTGAGCCCAGGAGATTGAGGTTGCTGTGAGCTAGGCTGATGCCATGGCACTCACTCTAGCCTGGGCAACAGAGGGAGACTCTGTCTCAAAAAAAAAAAAAAAAAAATTAAACCCAGTGGAGGTGGAGGCCTTCCTGGAGGAGCTAGGACTAAGTCTCAGTGACCCAGAGACCACACATGCATGAATGCAACACTGACGGCCCATTCTTGGCACCTCCCGAGCCATTGGTTTTGTTTCGCCTTAGAACACTGACCCTGGAATTGATCATGTTTTCTTTTTTGTATTTATTCTTAGCTTAGAAAAGAGTTTGGCCCACCTGGTGTTTTTTTAAGTCATTTTACCTTTAATTAAGTCTAATTTGGCCCCAATTTGCTAATTAAGTTTTAATTTTGTATTTGTTTTTAAAGCCACCTTGAAGTTTTTTGGAATAAGGCAGGGTATGCAGAAGCAAATACATAAGGACCTCTCTGACAAAAGTGTTTGCTCGGACCATTGTTTGAGTTATATTGTGAAAGAACTCGGACTCATGGAAAGTGAGTGAGAAGGAGATTTGGAGCTTCACAGATGAGGGGATGGAGACCCAGGGAGGGGAGAGGTGTGCAGAGCCAGGACTGGAACCAAAGTGCCCACACTCCTGCTCTGTGCTGTCATACTTACAACCCATTTGCTGTGGAGGAGATGGTCCCAGCTACTCCTGCTCTAACTCAGTTGTCGCTTGTCACCCACTGCCCATATGAGCTGAGAATTAGAGCCAGGGTTGCCTTTCCTGCAAGCTAGACTCCAATTAGACACCCAGGTGGGCAAGCCTTTCCTTCCCTCTGGGCCCTCGGTGGCTTGGTGGAGCCTGTCCCTCTCTTTCCTAGAGCCATTGACTCCCTGCTTATTTTCTGAGACTTGTCTTGGTGAAAGGAGCCCTGTTAGTGCTTGGGTCAGTGACGGGCAGTAACTACTGACCTGCTTCTGACTCCATCTGGGTGGCCAGACTCCCAAATTTGATACTGGGCCTTATGGTCGTGACTTCCTAAGACCCAGGGTGTAGGCAGCGTGGTGTCAGAGAGAGCCCCAGGTGCAAAGGCCGAAGCAAGCCCTGTAATCTCTTGGTCGTGTGTATGCGCCATCCACTCAAACAAGAGAGGGGGACTTGGGGGACGCAGCCAAGCATCAGCAAGCATCTTCCTCTCTCCTTCTGAACCGCAGATTGCCCCAGCGGAAGGCCCAGACGTCAGTGAAAGGATGGTCATCATCACCGGGCCACCTGAAGCCCAGTTCAAGGTCAGTGTCAAGGGCCATTCAGTGGCTTCGCTGTGCCTAGTGCAGGCTCTGGTCACAGGGCAGCCACCACCAAGACATGTTCAAGGCATGTTGGGATGCCAACCTCCATTTCTCTTCTTGCTGCTGCTCACTGGTCTCAGACTCGTGCTGTCTCCCCAACTTCTGGGCTGTTCCTTCTGTGCATTTGCCCTCTGCTGGGAAGCCCTTTCCCTTCTCTCCCATGGGAAAGTGGATCATCTTTCGGTGCCCAGTTCAAGTGGCACCTCCTCTGGCATATCTCTGATCCAGTCCCTTCCCCATGGTTTTGAGGATGGATGTCTCAGACTCTTAATCATTCCTATCCTTCAAGCTATGGGGCATTCAGGGGGGAAAAGGGAAATAGCATGGTTTGTTGGAAGTTCTTTGGTGAGATGTGTTCTTTTACTTTGTTTTGTTTTTGTTTCTTTTTTTATCCCGTATGGAAATTATAACCTGAGTTTACTAAAAGAGACATATTTATTTATAAAAGTGCAATCCTTATCATTAAAAATATTTGAAGTTTAGCTGAGACATAAAATCAACACATGTGGGCACCCTCGGCAGCCTCAAGGAGTGTGGGAAGCGGGTGTGGGGGCTTTCGGGGGGGGGGGTCGGTGTGTGCTTTGGGGCCTTTGGAGCAAGCTGAACACCAGTTGAACTCTTATTACCAAAGAAGTAGACTCCGAAAACACACTTCAAGGTTGAATTTTGAATTTTGACAGATCATTTACTTGCTACTCCTGTGCAGTAAGCACACTTGTGAGTTTTGATGGTGGGTCAGATTCACAGAGAGAGGCCTGCAGTGGGTGGAAAATGGAAGGCTGTGGATTGATGAGCTGTGTGACACTCCATATATTTCCAAAATGTATTTGGAATCTTATTTGAAACTATTTATAAAATGGGACATCTCTGTTATAGCAGTAAGCTCCTTTAGTGCATTTTTGCCAACTGAAGGAGTATCTCTTTAAAAAGTTTCTCATGAAACCTGAAAAAATGAAGTTAAGTATAGGATTTTTTTTTAGAGGGTTCTTGCTCTGTTGCCTGGGCTAGAGTGCAGTGGCATCATCATTGTTAACTGTGACCTCAAACTCCTGGGCTCAAGCAATCCTGGTTCCTCAGCCTCTGGAATAACTGGGACTACAGGCTTGTGGAGGTCCCCATGGGCTAATTAGTGGTTTGTTTGTTTTTGTAGAGAGTGGGTCAAGCTCCAAATCACAAGTGATCCTCCTGCCTGGGCTTCCCAAAATGCTGGGATTACAGGCGTGAGCCACCACGAGCAGCCAGCATAGGTTATTTTTTGATGACTGTTTTCTGATTATTTGGGGCCTAAATAAAATAGTATAAAACATTTGTATTGCTACTTTTTTCCCCTTACATGACAGTGATTTTTAAAAACAGTATACTTTTATATGACGGTTCCTGCAGCAGCCACTGCATTTGACTTAAGTAAAATTTTTATAGACCCTAAGGTACCAGAGGATTTAGGCCAATTCTTGAAATCATATGAGAACTATAGAAGGGGATTATGATGTCAGCTAGTTCACCTTTGGCTCAAAATGCCAACAGGCAGAAATCTTTAAAATATTGCTATTCCTAGTGACTAAAGGATAAAATTACAATCTGCTGGAGAGTAAGCCCTATATTTCACCCCTTTTGTGCGTATAACACACTATCCAGTTTAGGCCTCCATGGATTTAAATATTTTTGAATTAAAAACATGCTTCTGGGAGGCCGAGGCGGGCGGATTGCTCGAGGTCAGGAGTTCAAAACCAGCCTGAGCAAGAGTGAGACCCCGTCTCTACTATAAATAGAAAGAAAATTAATTGGCCAACTAATAATATATAGAAAAAAAAATTAGCCGGGCATAGTGGTGCATGCCTGTAGTCCCAGCTACTTGGGAGGCTGAGGCAGCAGGATTGCTTGAACCCAGGAGTTTGAGGTTGCTGTGAGCCAGGCTGACGCCACGGCACTCATTCTAGTCTGAGCAACAAAGTGAGACTCTGTCTCAAAAAAAAAAAAGAAAAAAGAAAAACATGCTAAAAAATTAAGGGAATATTAAGGTAATAGGAATGTTCTATCCATGGTAGTAGAACAGCTTTATATTTAGTGCCTTGATGCTCTTATGTAAAAGCTTTCCTACTTTCATGCCAAGGTCTCTGAATGATTGTTATTCAATTTTGTTTTTAATTCTCATCTACTTCAAAGTTCTGTCTTCCACAGCATGTAAAATAAAATAATTTCTTTTAAAAAAATCAACACATATGGAACTATTCAAAAACAATAGCCCTTCAGCTCATGCGTAGACAAACAAAATGTGATATATCCACACAATAGAATATTATTCAGCCATAAAAAGGAATGAAGTGCTGATGCATGCTACACATGGAAGAACCCAGAAAACATTATGCTAAGAAAAGTCAGACACAAAAGACCACATATGATACAATTCCATTTACATGAAGTTCAGAATAGGCAAATCCATAGAAATAGGAAGTAGACTAGTGGTTGCCAAGCAATAGGGGTAGGAAGGAATTGGAACTAACTGCTAATAGGTACCAGGTTTTTGTTTCAGGGAATGGGATAGAATATTCTGGGTAGATAGTGGTGGTGGTTGTACAACATAGTGACCACTGAAGTGTATACTGTAAAATGATGAATTTTAGATTATATGAATTATATCTCAATTTTTTTAAGTTAAGAAAAAAAGAACAGTAGCCTCTTGGTTAATCTGGCTTTGAAGGCAGACATCAAAGAGCAAGATCCGGCTCATCAAATCTCATCACCATCACCCTCACCTTCATCCTTTAATAACCAGAGGTCTGAACCTATTATATCATGGTAGGAGTTAAGAATTCCTTGAACAGGCCGGGCGCTGTGGCTCACGCCTGTAATCCTAGCTCTTGGGAGGCCGAGGCGGGCGGATTGCTCAAGGTCAGGAGTTCGAAACCAGCCTGAGCAAGAGCGAGACCCCGTCTCTACTATAAATAGAAAGAAATTAATTGGCCAACTGATATATATATAAAAAAAAAATTAGCCGGGCATGGTGGCGCATGCCTGTAGTCCCAGCTACTCGGGAGGCTGAGGCAGAAGGATCACTCAAGCCCAGGAGTTTGAGGTTGCTGTGAGCTAGGCTGACGCCACGGCACTCACTCTAGCCTGGACAACAAAGTGAGACTCTGTCTCAAAAAAAAAAAAAAAAAAAAAAAAAGAATTCCTTGAACAAATACAGTCAGTCAACCAGACATTTATAGGTGCTAGGGATATGGAAATAAGACATAGAGTTCTATCCCCTCACCTGTCTCCCTAACCCCAATATACAGAAAGCCTCCTGGAGGTACAAACCATGGTGCAACCATGGTACAAACCATGAAAACACGAGAGTGCCCATGCACATCTTTCATACACAGATGTTTGACATGGCGGGAGCGGCACCCATGAGGTCTGCACGAGCTGGGGCTGGTACCTGGCCCTGGGGAGCTTGGGAAAGGGGGTGTCTGGTTGCCCGGACTCTCAGTTCCCTTAGCAACAGTGGCAAAGTGGGTTGGCTGGCAGCTGACTCTGAGAGTCACCAGTCATATCTTGCTCTCTCAGGCCCAGGGACGGATCTTTGGAAAACTGAAAGAAGAAAACTTCTTTAACCCCAAAGAAGAAGTGAAGCTGGAAGCCCATATCAGAGTGCCCTCTTCCACAGCTGGCCGGGTGATTGGCAAAGGTGGCAAAACCGTAAGTGTGTTCCAGGCTCGCTTCATAACCTGAGTCAAATTCCCTGCCCTGGCCTTGCCAGAGTTCCCTCAAAGCGCCACTGGCTCCTTCTCTCCCGGCGTATGGTCTGGATGTCTGGCTCACAAACTAAGATGTTCCTGGCATCTGAGCCCTTTGAAACATGAGGATTCTAAGGATAAAAATGTAATCAGCATTACTCTAGAAGTTAGGGTCCTACATCCACGGTGCTAAGCCCAAAACACCAGGTCCATGTGCCCAGTAATACCCATCTCAGCTCCATGCTGGGAAATGAGGGTCTCTACTCCCTGGAGACAGGCTGTCTTCTGCCCACTTTATTACCGCACAGAGCAGCCAGTGAAATAGCAAAGGGGGAGTCCCACCCAGAGCATTAGCAAACCCCCTTGGCAGATGATTCTCTAAATTTCAGAGGCCTGCAGGGTCTGATGTCCTGTGCTGTCTCCTGACTCTTCAAACTCTCCCAACAGATGTTTCCAGGGGCCCTAACTCTCCCCCTTACAGATTCCATCTCTTGGCTATTTCTCACACCTGCTCCTCTGCTGTAGGGGTGCTAGCTTAGCAATAGGGTGGTGGGCAAGAAGGAAATAGTTTTTTAAGAAATAATCAGCTGGGTGTGCTAACTCATTCCTGTATTACCAGCACTTTGGGAAGCCAAGATGGGAGGATCACTTGAGGCCAGGAGTTCAAGACCAGCTTGGGCAACATACGGAGACTGCATCTCTATAAAAAATTTTTAAAACCCCAAGAATTAGCTGGGTGTGGTGGTACATGCCTGCAGTCCTAGCTACTTGGGAGGCTGAGGCGGGAGGATCGCTTGAGCTCAGGAGTGCAAGGCTGCAATGAGCTATGATTTCACCACTGCACTCCAGCCTGGGGGATGACAAAGCAAGACCCTATCTCTAAAAAATAAAAATGTTTAAATCTACCTTTTCATCCTCAAGGTGGCAGTAACACAGTGCAATTTGAAAAGAACCAGAGCATTGACTCTGAAGCCTATAGAAATGAGCAGGTGGTCTGCAGACACAGGTGTGTTCTGGAACATGACTTAACCACCTGGTGGGCTGATAACCCCTGAGAAGTTCCAATAGAGCCTAGTACATGCTTGGCAAAGTGGCAGTGTTGGGTGGCAGGAATTTGGGAGGTCTCTAGAGTCCTGAGAGACAGAGAGTGTGTGTGTTTGCTGTTTTTGTAAAGTTCTTTATATAGAAACTCTTACAGAGGATTCAAAACCAAGTGCTAGATACAGTGAGTCACCTTCATGCAAAAGTGTAAAGTTACATGGAACACAGATTATTCCCTATGTCCAGGAATGTAGTCAGCACCCCAGGGCGCACACACTGAGCTCTAGGCGGAGTTGCAGTGTGGTGGGCAAAAGAGAGCAGGTAGTTCACGAGGAAGTAGAACCCTTAGATGTCCTATTTGGTTATTTCACAATCGGTAAATGAATTCTCCACCTCCCCCAGAGACTGTCAGCTGTCCACTGGGCTCCTGCTGAACCCCCCTTTGAGCTCAGCAGCCCTCAGGGAGCATATAGTTTTGCTGGGAAGCAGTCCCAGGGAGGCAGTGGGAGGAGTAGCAGAGTGCAGGAAATGGTTTGAGAAAAGGGGAGGTCAGTGTGGGCTGGAGGCTTCATGGAGGAGGCAGGATCCAGTGGCAGGAGAAAGGATAACAGTCCAAGGATAGAAACAGCGTAAGCAAGACTTGGTGGCTAGAGTGCAAATGAAGAGTAGGGAGCAGAGCAGGGCCTGAGGTGTGGGCTCACAGCACCCAAGAGAGCATGTCCAGGAGGAGTGACCTTCTTACCAGGGTTATTGGAAAGCCAGGGGGTCACCTGAGCATGGGCAGACCTGCATTAATGGGACTCCAGAATTCAGCCCCATGGACTCAGCGCCTGGACTCCCTCTCCCTGTCATTGAGCCTTCCAGGGCCCAAAGCCCATGGCCCCATGTGCCCAGGGGCAGGGAAGCCCCAGGGGTCCTCTATTGAGGGAAAGGAGCACAGACTCCCCTCCGCCTCCCTCCTGAGCCCACAGCCTGTTCTCCCCCCACAGGTGAATGAACTGCAGAACTTAACCAGTGCAGAAGTCATCGTGCCTCGTGACCAGACACCGGATGAAAATGAGGAAGTGATCGTCAGAATTATCGGGCATTTCTTTGCTAGCCAGGTACCTGTGCTGTGAGGGCCCCATCTCTCCTGCAGCCTTTTCCATTCTCTGCCTGAGCTACTAGTGGCCCTCACGCCCTGAGCACCCTCCACCCCTACCCAGATGGAACCTCTCCCTGGTTCTTCCTGGCTCTCCAGGGATTTCTGGCAGGGCAACGGAGCTTGTTCCACACCTTCTCTCCACTGCCATCCCCCAGGCACGCTAGGAGCTTGAGGAAGCAGGGACAGCTGCTGAGTCAAGCCCTTAAGCAAAGCCCAGCAAGTTTCAAGCCCCCTGCATGCTAAGGGGCGAGGTCTTGGCTGTCCTCACCCTGCCTCTTCAGGCCCCAGTCCCAGCCTTTTCTGCTGGGAGCCGCATACAGCAAGCCCACCCTCTGGATCCCCCAGCTGGAGCCTGAGCACCGCCTGGGTGCCCAGGTCTCACCATGAAAGGTCACATGCTCATGGCAAGAGACCCTTGTTTCTCATTTCTCTCTTTCTCTTTCTCCATCTCACCATGACCCACCTATCAAAACACAGCCCCTCCACACAGCTTCTCCTCTTTTGTTTGGAAAGGCCAGTACCTTGGCCTAATTTGGCCTAGTTCTCTTTGATACTTTTGTTGGCTGGGTTTGGGGAGAGAGCAGTCTGAATTCTTGTCCTAAACCAATGAAGACAAACTGTAAGCTGACATTGAAGGTTTGTCTGTGCTGTAAGCCTGCTCTCCCAATGCCTGCAGCTGCGCCGGGAGACCTGACTGTCCGCACCTGCCACACGCCCCACCCCCAGTGCCCTTTGAGATGCCCACTGGGTCTCCTGCTGTCAGAGCCCCTGGCTGCACCCACCTCCGCTCGCTCTGTGGCCGCCCCTTGGCGCCCTGGGCACATGTCTGAGCAGCACCTTCCTGCAGAGCTCAGTCCAGGAGCTCCCTGTGGTGGCAGCGCTGGGCTGGCGGAGGAGTGAGGTGGGGTTCACGTGTGTGCCCCAGTTGTTCAGGGCAGTGTCTGGGCCCAGTTTCTTCCCCTCCCCGTCCCCTGTCCCCGTACTGCCCGTTTCTCCCAGCAGTCACGCAGGTGTTCCTCCTGGCCACTCTAGAAAGGTGGGGGGCAGCACAGGAGCCCAAGTGTGTGTAGTCGGGAGGGGGTGCTGTCTGACCTCTGCAAACACCACCCACCCACCCCCCGTTACTGGCTGCCTGCTTCTGCTCCCTGGCCTGTCTGTCCAGCAGTGAACTGGAAGCTGCAAGGATCTCATCCCCTTACCCTCCACCCAGCAGCCTCGGGGCGGGTGGCGGGGAGACCTCTGCCACTTACTGCGAGGCAGAAAAGACCCCAGAGTAAGGCGCCTAGCCGGTAGTTGACACTTCTCTGAGCACCCACCCTTCTCCCCCCAAGTCCCAGACCCTTCCCCTACTGCTTGTCTTCAGAACTGGGTTCCTTTTTTCCCCTGTCCCCTCCTCTCCCTTCTCTCCCTGCTGCAGACTGCACAGCGCAAGATCAGGGAAATTGTACAACAGGTGAAGCAGCAGGAGCAGAAATATCCTCAGGGAGTCGCCTCACAGCGCAGCAAGTGAGGCTCCCACAGGCACCAGCAAAACAACGGATGAATGTAGCCCTTCCAACACCTGACAGAATGAGACCAAACACAGCCAGCCAGATCGGGAGCAAACCAAAGACCATCCTGAGGAATGAGAAGTCTGCGGAGGTGGCCAGGGACTCTGCAGAGGCCCTGTGAATCCTAGGGGCCGAGCAGGGGGCGGGGAAGGCCAGCGGGGCTTGCCAGCCCCCGCCGGCCTGGCCCCTCCCCCCCAGGGCCTCTGCAGGCTCCCCAGCCATCCACTTCACCACGCACTGGGATCTCTCCTTACCTCCCAAGACGCTATCCCTTCTAGTTGAACTAACATAGGTGAACGTGTTCAAAGCCAAGCAAATTTCACACCTTTTTTTTTTTTTTTTTTGGCAAATTGTCTCTGTTGTACATGTGTGTACATATTAGAAGGGAAGATGTTAAGATACGTTGCCTGTGGGTTACACAGGGTGCCTGCGGCGGTAATATATTTTAGAAATAATATATCAAATAACTCAACTAACTTCAATTTTTAATCAATTATTAATTTTTTTTTTCTTTTTAAAGAGAAAGCAGGCTTTTCTAGACTTTAAAGAATGAAGTCTTTCTTTGGGAGGTCTGATGGTGTAGAGAGGAGCTTTGAGGCCACCCACACAAAATTCACCCAGAGGGAATCTCATCAAAAGGACACTCACAGCAGTTCTGGATCACCTGTGTATGTCAACAGAAGGGATACCGTCTCTTTGAAGAGGAAACTCTCTTCATGCCTGTCCAGCTCATACACCCATTTCTCTTTGCTTCACAGGTTTTAAACTGGTTTTTTGCATACTGCTATATAATTCTGTCTCTCTCTGTTTATCTCTCCCTTTCCCTCCCTTCCTCCCCCCCCATCTCTTCCATCCCCATTCTTTTGAATTCCCTCATCCCTCTGTCTCGGTCCCCTGTATCTATGCACCTCCTCCCCCCCAGGCAAAGCAGTGCTCTGAGTATCACATCACACAAAAGGAACAAAAGCGAAACACACAAACCAGCCTCAACTTACACTTGGTTACTCAAAAGAACAAGAGTCAATGGTACTTGTCCTAGCATTTTGGAAGAGGAAAACAGGAACCCATCAAACCAACCAACCAAACAAAGAAAAATTCCACAACGAAAGAATGTATTTTGTCTTTTTACATTTTGGTGTATAAGCCATTAATATTCAGCAAAATGATTTCTTTCTTTTAAAAAAAAATGTGGAGGAAAAATAGCAATTTATACAAGGTTGTTGGCCCAGGGCGTTAAATTTACAGATTTTTTTAACGAGAAAAACACACAAAAAAAAGCTACCTCAGGTGTTTTTTACCTCAGCACCTTGCTCTTGTGTTTCCCTTAGAGATTTTGTAAAACTGATAGTTGGAGCATTTTTTTATTTTTTTAATAAAAATGAGTTGGAAAAAAAATAAGATATCAACTGCCAGCCTGGAGAAGGTGACAGTCCAAGTGTGCAACAACTGTTCTGAATTGTCTTCCGCTAGCCAAGAACCTATATGGCCTTCTTTTGGACAAACCTTGAAAATGTTTATTAAAAAATATATATGAAAAAGAAAAACAGAGAGAGAAAATATTGGAGATGTCCTGAATTTCATAGGGTACGCGCCATTAGGGCTTTTTGCGCTAAAGGATGAACATGTACTGGTTTATGTGAACAAGCCATTATACCACCAGACTGCAATGCCAGTTTCCTCTACTGCAAACAGTGTTCTGTGACAAAAAAACAAAACAACAAAAAAAAGAAAAAAAAAAAAAAAAGAAATATATCCAGCTAACAAGATCCTGGTGTCTTGGTGTCTTATTTTACTAGGCATTGCCTCATCCCGAAGTGTCAGCTCAGTTCCAACCTGGAGGGACTTGAAGACGGGGGCAGCATATATATATAAGCAGGACCAGGAAGCTACTCTGAGGAGGCTGGCTTTGTTAAGGAAAGTCTATGAGAGAAGCTAAACTAGATCAGTGGTTCTCAAAAGTGTCCCCAGACCAGAAGCATCCATTATCACCCCGGGAATTTGTTAGAAATGTAGATTCTCGGGGTCCGCCTTGAATCAAAAATTCTGGGGTTGAGGCCCAGTGTCTGTTTCAGCAAGCACTCCAGCTGATTCCTGTGTGCGCTGTGAAGTGCGAGAACCACAGAACTAGAGGGATGGATTGACCACATACAGAGCTAGGTAAGACCAGTCTCTGTCAGTAAGGAACTTCAAGCCTGGCCAGGAAAAGTTTATTTTTTCTGTGAAGGAAACGGGGAGGATAATATGCCAATTCAAGGGAACAGGTACTTCACACCTCCACTGGAAATTCAATTTTAAGTGCAGGCATACCTCAGAAATACTGCAGATTCTGTTCCAGACTAACACAGTAAAGTGAATATTGCAATAAGGCAAGTCACACAAGTTTTTTGGTTTCCCAGTGCATATAAAAGTTATGTTTACACTCTACTGTGTTAAGTGTGCAATAGCATTATGTTCAGAAAAACCAGTGTGCATAATTTAAAAATACTGCTAAAAAATGCTAATGATAGCCTGAGCCTTCAGTGAGTCTTATCTTTTTGTTGTTAGAGGGTCTTGCCTCAGTGTTGATGGCTGCTGACTTACCATGGTGGGAGTTGCTGAGGGTTGGGGTAATTGTGGCAATTTCTTAAAATAAGACGACAATTAAGGTTGCCACATCAATTGACTCTTCCTTTCACAAAAGATTTCTCTGTAGCATGCAATGCTGTTTGACAGCATTTGCCCATAGAATTTCTTTCAAAATTGGAGTCGGTCCTCTTAAACCCTGCCACTGCTTCACCAGCTAAGTTTATGTAATACTCTAAATCCTTTCCTGTCATTTCAAAAACATTTACAGCGTCTTCATCAGAAGAAACCACTTTTTTGCTCATCCTTAAGAAGCAACTCCTCATTCACTGAAGTTTGACCATGAGATTGTAGCAGTTCAGTCACATTTTCAGGCTCCTCTTCTAATTCTACTTCTCTTGCTATTTCCACATCTGCAGCTAATTCTTCCACTTAAGTCTTGAATCCCTCAAAGTCACCCATGAGAGTTGGAACCAACTTCTTCCAAATTCCTATTAATGTTGATATTCTGATCACCTTTCATGAATCACAAATGTTCTTAATGGTATCTAGAATGGTGAGTCCTTTCTAGAAGGCTTTCAATTTACATTGCCCACATCCATCAGAGGAATCACTATCTATGGCAGCTCTAGCCTTATGAAGTGTATTTCTTAAGTAATGACTTAAAAGTTGAAATTACTCCTTGATGTATGTGCTGCTGAATGGATTCATGATAGCAGGTATGAAAACTACATTAATCTTCCACATCTCCTTCAGAGCTCTTAGGTGACTAGGTGCATTGTCAATGAACAGGAATATTTTGAAAGCAATCTTTTTTCTGAGCAGTAGATCTCAATAGTGGGCTTTTGTAAACAGATGTGCTGTCATCCAGGCTTTGCTGTTCCCTTTATAGAGCACAGCATCATTCTTAAGGGTCCTAGAATTTTTGGATTGGTAAATGAGCACTGGCTTTAACTTACAGTCACCAGTTGCATTAGCCCCTAACAAGAGAGTCAGCCTGTTTGAAGCCAGGCAATGACTTCTCCTCTCTAGCTATAAAAGTACTAGATGGCATCTTCTTCCAATAGAAGGCTGTTTTATTTGCATTGAAAATATTTAGTGTAGCCACCTTCCTCAGTTATCTTAGCTAGATCTTAATCTACATAACCTACTGCAGCTTCTACATCAGCACTTGCTGCTTCACCTTCACTTTTGTGTTATGGAGTTAGCTTCTTTCCTTAAACCTCATGAACCAACCTCTGCTAGCTTCCAACTTCTGCAGCTTCCTCACCTCTCTCAGTCCTCACAGAATTGAAGAGAGTTAGGACCTTGCTCTGGATTAGGCTTTGGCTCAAGGGAACGTTGTGGCTCATTTGATCTTCTATCCAGATCACTAAAACTCTCCTTACCAGCAATAAAGCTGTTTCACTATTGTTACGTCTCAGGGAACAAGGAGTTCCGAGGAGAGGGAGAAACAGAAACAGCCAGTCTATGGGGCAGTCACAACACGCACAACATTGATCAGTTAAGTCTGCCATCTAACAGCTGTGGTTTGTAGCGCCCCCAATTATAATAGTAACGTTAACCACTTTGGGACCAGCCTCGACTATAGTCGACAGCCACAGACGAACGCGCACAGCGACTTTAGACGACAGCCGTGATGTGAAGGCGCACAGTCAAGCGTCAACTTTAGCTGACAGCCATGATGACTTTTCTAATTTTTCATTTATCAAAATAAAATTGTGAACATTTAAAAATAACATAATGAAAACATATGTATATGTTACCTATTCTGATTTACATTACAAGTAAAGCTGCCTGTAAAGTAAAACAAGCTTTCAGTGCTTTAAAGCTTTCCTCATCACACAAGAGCAAAATGGATTCGTCGTCAATGCACAGCACACACTATCGTGCGGACTATGAGTGCTGGCTGTGGGCAAGGGTTCGTGGCCAGTGAGCATGGTACAGAAGTGGTTAAAGATCACAGATCACCATACCAGATATAATAACAGAGAAGCCAGGGGCGTCCTGGCACCAAGGTTACACCTGAAAGCCGCTGCCTAGGTTGAGATGTCTGTCAAATGAACAGGGAGAAAAACAAACATCTTAAAGGAAAGGCCTTAACAATAGAGCCAAGGGCTTTGTAATGACTCTGAGATGAGGAGACATTAGGGAGGGAGAGCAATGACACAAGAACCTCGGAAAAAAACATGCTCCACCCCTCAGGTTTCATTCCTTGGCCTTTATTCTAGGTGGCAGAATTTCAGGTTTAGGTCCTAAAGTGCCCATTTCGAAAATACTTGTCTGTGAACATGTGTGTGAAAGACACAGCAGGAGGTGCAAGATGATGCCTGATTTGCCCTGGCACAAAGCAACCATAAATTATCCTTGGCTTGTAGGAATGAAGGGGAGACCACACAGAGAGGCAGAAGACAGGAGCAAAACTAGCTGGCCTTGTTCCTGAGGAAAGGCTTTCTCCCAACAGCCCATTTTCAGAGAACCTAAGTACTGGATTACTTCACACCTGGCTCACCTCACTTGAGCCTCCCAAGGGCAGCATGAGCACAAGACCATCCTTTCCAGGGTGGCGTCCTGTCCCACCCTACGCGGACACAGCTTCGTGTGTATGAACTGGGCTCTGATGAACTGTCTCACATTTTAAAATAACTAATGGCCAGGTGTGGTGGCACATGTGCCTGAAGTTCCAGGCCAGCCTGCCTGGGCAACACAGCAAGACCCAGTCTCTTAAAAAAGAGAGAATGAAAAACCTGAAATAAAATCACCTGAGTATAATGAGGATAAATTATTATTTTGTCAAACTTCTATGTCCATATATAATTACATAATGTGTGTGTGTGCATGCGCATGCACTGGTCACAACATACATACATTTATTACTGTGAGTTGCAATCAAAAAAATTTAAAACTACTAAATTAAAGAGATAAATGTATTGGTAAATAGATAAAATCAACACCTATTTCAATATATTCAAACTCCTTCCTTATATATATTTGGTAAATTGAAAGAAAAAATTACCAAAGTAATACAGCCAGCTAGATCCCCAATTACAAATGAGTTGCATACCGTGAGTTTGTTTATCAGGTGCTTGGAGTTTTTCTCAAAGAAACTTATAGAGAGATTAGGTTCCCAATTCACAAAAGCCACAAACAATGCAGCTTAACTATAGTGCTAAGGTTATCACAAACTGAACTTTCTCTATGTTGCTTATTCATTCATATCTGAGGTCCACTACTTCTCTAAGAACACATTCTACCCACCCCCACACCTTGGTCCCAGCACCAGGCACTCTTCACAGTGCAGGCAAACAGCTGCCATGTGATAATGGTGTTCCCCAAAGTTGTGCTTAGGATTCCAGAAGAGGAAGAGATCAGAGGTTTCTAACAGCCTTAGGTAACTGAGGTAGAATATGGGGCTCCCAAGAACATCTTCCATATGCCCCAAGTCTTCTTCCCTCCCACCCCCATCCAGCTCTGGTACAAGATCAAGCATGAGAAAAATACTTCCTCACCAACAGTATAGTTTTTAAAAATCTCTCAATTTTTAAGAGAGACTACCTACTAAAAAGATTAATGGTTCACCTTTTTTAAGACCCCCTAAACCAATGCAATTAAAATAAGAAAAAAATCACTGGCTTTCATGCTGATAATTTGCTCCTAATAAAATCAATATTTTTTTTCACCTGAACACTTCTTTCTTAAACTGTTTGGATATAAAAATTGTTTTTGTATCCTTGGTACAAGTTTCTTTGTACCAAGGGAGAAACATCAGTGCCTAGAAATGCATGGCCTGCAGTAGCTCACATTAAATTCAGGAACTCAGGGTCAAGCAGAAGGCCATGCTCTAGCTTAATGCTCTGCTCTTCCCAATTTCACAATGTCCTGGAAGATTAATAAGAGCTATTCTAAAGAGTATACTTTAATGGAAAGCACAGTGAAAGCTGCTGTTAGGAAGCCCCTTGCCCAACTTGTGCAACATAGCAGGACCCCCATCTCTACAAAAAATAGAAAAATTAGCTTGGCATGGTGGCGTGGCACCTGTAGTCCCAGCCACCTTCTATAGGCTGAGGCAGAAGGATCCCTTCAGCCTGGGGATTTGAGAATTCAAGGTTGCAGTGAGCTATGATGATGCCACTGCACTCTAGCCCAGGCAACAGAGTGAGCCTTTGTCTCAAAAAAAAAAAA